ATTCCTTCAGAAGGGAAAGGCACTGGATGATGTCCATGACTTACACCCTGCACATCTCGCCATTTTGCAAACCCAGTGGCACGTCCTTGCTGCTCAAACGCCCCTTATTCTGCAAACTTGCTTATGGATCTTGGAGACCTACTGTCCGCAGTGAGGATACAAGTACACTACAGAAATATTGCCCTTCTCCACATGCTGGATGAGGCTTTGAGCAACCTGGTCTAGTGGAAGGTGTCCCTGCCCATGGCAGGGGGGTTGGAACTAGATGATCTTTAAGGTCCCTTCCAACCCAAACCATTCTATGATTCTATGATTTTAGTCTCTATTTAACTTTAGCTTATAAATAGGGAAAATACTTACAATTTTATAATCTCTTGTATATTATGGCTCTAATAGCATAAGCTTTTGTGCTGTTTTTGGCTGGGATAGAGTTGATTTTCTTCACAGTAGGTGGTATGGAGCTGTGATTTGGATTTGTGCTGATAAGAGTGTTGATAACAAAGGGATGGTTTAGCTATTGCTAAACATTTTTTCCAAAGCCTCCTGTTTCACAGACTGACGTGCCATCAAGTGGGATGGGGGTGCACAAGAAGTTGGGAGGGGACACATCCGGGACAGCTGACCCCAACTGACCAAAGGGAGATCCCATACCATATGGTGTCATGCTTAGCAACAAAAGATGGGGGAAGAAGGAAGAAGGGGGGCCTTTCCCAGTGACGTTGTTTGTCTTCCCAAGTCACTGTTACACATGATGAAGCCCTGCTTTCCTGGAGATGGCTGAACACCTGCCTGCCGATGGGAAGTGGTGAATGAATTCCTTGTTTTGCTTTGCTTGCGTGTGTGGCTCCTACTTACTTATTAAACTACCTTTGTCTCAACCCAGGAGTTTTTTCTTTTTGCTTTTACCACTCATATTCCTGCTAGGAGGGAAGGAGTGAACGGCTGTGTGGGGCTGAGCTCTCTACTGGGGATAAACCACAACAGTTTTCCATAGTAAAGGGAATTTAAAAGCTACATTACTGTATTTGAAGTGGGTGAACACTGATTTAAATAAAAGTGGGCAGGAGATGGAAGGAAGAACATTGTTTTAGATCTGAAATTGCATTTCTGAATGTAATTTCCACTGAAGTCAGCACAAGCACATTTCCTCTTCTGTGCTAAAAAGCAGGGTTGCTAAATCCAAGTATATTCTCAGAAAGTCCCCGCTGATCACAGTATTAGAAATTATGCCATCCACAAAAATCTTCTTAAATCAAATATGAGGATGTAAGGGCCTGTTCAAGAACCGAACTGGAAAGCTGCAGTATAATAACCAATTTACATTTCATTATAACCTATTTCATTTACCTATCTACTGACTCCATGCTTACATGCCTTCCAATTCATTTTCATATTGCTGATAGGTCACCTAATTTCACACTGGCCTCTCTTGCTAACACAGGCTCCTTTCTGAAGTGTAGCACTCTTAATCCTATGCTTCAAGTCCCTTCTGATAATCCTCTGCTGCCATTCTTCCCTATGCAAAACTGCTTGACAAAATAAAACTATTCATATGAATTTCTGCAGACAGGCATGGTGAACGTTAAATAAACAGAAACCTTTGGCTGCTGTCTTTGTTCACAGGGTAGGATTCAAAACTTACTGAAATTTGTGACTTTTTCCACTGACTACTTATTCCTACTTCAGAAGCATGTATGTACAAATATGCATACATTTAAACTCTAGGCTACGTGATACCAGTTGGAGCAGGTTTTGAACTAAGTACAGATTTACCAGCATGTGTGGATCATCTCAAGGGTACATTGATTTCAGTGGAATTACACCATGTGTAGAAAGTGCAACAGCAGCTCTAAGAAATCTTTGCCTCAAAAAACTCAATGTATATATATTTTTAATTAATTCAACAGTTGCCATTATTTTCCCAAGCCAGTCTGCTGTTCCAGTTTCCAGAGTATTACAGCTGCTTTGATAATAGCACATTAACAGCTGCCTGCAAATGGCAGAATATAAAAAATAACACATTAAGGACAACTACAAATGCAACTAATATATATGCTTATAGAACTCTGCTGATAGAGGATATCTGTACTAGGAAGAAAAAACACTTATTAGGAGAGAAGCAAGCTGTACTGGTAAAAATGAAGATTTTTAACTGCTACTTCCCCAGAAGCTTTTACTGACTCCATTAATGGTCATAGCCTTGCTTTCTCCCCATGCATGCTGAACACAGCTATATCCACAAAAGACTGCACACAAGCCTGGTCTCAGTGTGTAGGTCTCATAGCATTTCTTCTCTTCAGAAGGTGGCATCTGAGTTTTACTGCCACAGAGGTACAGGATGAGACTACAGACTATTATAATGGATACACTAAAAATCAGGGGATACCTCATCCTTAGGTAAGGAAATTCATAGTCTGTAATTTAGGTCTGATTGACCTTCAGATTAGGACCCCAAGGTTTAAATGTCTGCATGGGAACTATGTGTCAAAGCTGCGACGGAACTCTGGGGCCCATTCATTTAACAAGGCTAGCACTCTTCCAGATCCCCTGCGACGCGTGTTCAGTCCTCAGCTGTCATAATCAAAGAATGGCAGTGTCTCACAAATCTTCAGTCACTTTTGCCAGCCCAGTATGACCATCTTGCATGTCCTATGAATGCTTCAAATGGCATAAAGTACCTCTTTGTAGGCAGGGGAATCCCACTTCCCGCTGACACATTCAGTGACACTTAGGTAAAAGTCTGACTAAAGGCAGGTGTCCACCGAGTGAAGGGAACAGTGGGTCCACTGACTCCATTTACTGGATGAGGAGTAAATGCATCTTGTTGACCTACAAGCAGATTCTGAAGGTAGGTGAATTGTTCTGAAGTTCAATCCTACATGCAGGGTTTGATTCAGTTTTCCATATGCAGGTATGGAATGACATTTGAGAAAAGATATCATAAGGCTGATAAATACAACACTGGACCTACCCCAGATGTGTGCCTTTCTGAGCAACAGCTGGAGACCACATAAATTATCCTAAGGCATCTAAAACGGCTCCAAGAGCTTTTCTTTCTGTGAGCAAATGAACTAAGCCCTTTCAACCGCAACTTAAGAATCCTACAAGAATTAATCATATTTTTAAAATAATATGGTTTGTTATTAGTATTGCCATAGCTTATGGAGGCTTCAAAAAACTTCTCACCACAACTCTAGAATATTGGTGCTTTGTTACATCAAGACAATGAAGTAAAATCAGTCATCTTCTAGTACTCTCCCCTAACAAAGGACCTTTTTGCCCAGAAACTGGTCTTACATAGTAAGATTTTTGCATGTTTCAGTTTCTACTTAACATAACGGCACTCGAGAAAACACATGGCTGCTATGTGTCTAAATGTCGTATTTAGGATTCTCCATTGAAAAAAAAAAAGTTTTAAATTTTATTCTATTTTTTTCATAAAAGCATTCTTATTAAAAAAAATTTCTAGGTACCATCCATTTGCCCCTTAATTTTGAAGAATGGTTAAATTTAATATCAGTACATTCTTTTTAGAAGTTAATTATTCTAGATGCAAGAAATTTTAATTTTTCTCCTGTAAAGTATATTTAAAATATCTATAAATAACCCTTTGAAAGCAATCTTTCAGTAATTACTCTAACATTGAAACCAAGTTAAAATAATTTCAAAATTTTAATGACATATCTATGAGTTAAATAAATGTTACACCATTATGAAGAAAGCTAAACTGAAATATGAACCCTAACATTGATATTTTACTGAAAGTCAGAAACTTAAATCCACATGTGGACATCTACAATGGTTGGGGCTTTTGCATCTGCTACTCCCTAAAGCCTATGGGAGGCGCAGGCTGTGTAATATGTTTGACCACTTTTGTAGCACCTCGGGGCATGGACCAGAATCCCTTCATGATACCATAGAAACACTGAGTAGAAAACCAGCTCTGAACCTAAACAGTAAATAAGAATCATGTATACAAAGTCTGGAGAGCCTGCAGTAAGGGTAAGGGTTTTCAGTTGAGCTATAAAGGGTTGTTGAAGAAGGAATCAAAGGAAATAGTTACAGAGAAGAGAAGGAGGAAGCACAATTTTCACCTCTGTATCTAGAACTGACTACAAAACAAGATTAGTTGGTTTGGTAAACTGAAAAGCACACAAGTTCAGCTGAGGTCTGCCAGAAAGGTGACAAATCAGACACATTGGCTTGACATGTTCAAAGTAACAGAGTTTTATATTAGTGATTATATAATAAGAAATTTGCTCTGGCATTACCGTCATGTTCCCTACCCGAAGCTCCAAGAAGCCTTGCTTCCTCATAAACTAGTATCTTAAAAGGCACCGAGACCAAGATTTATCCCTAATAGACTGGCCAGTTTCTCTTCCTTAATCTCTTAAATACTATGAAAAATGTCGTCACTGAAGTTCTCTTAGTTTTGCTAAGTTAATGAAAAATTTAGTATTGTACTTATGTTTTCAAATATTTGTATTCCATTAGTTTTAATTAATCTGCTGTATTCTATGTTTATTTTTTTAAGTGAAGATTTTTATTACCAAATGAGGAAATGTACTTTGTTTCTATGGAACTGGTTCCCTAAATTCTTTGGTTCCACGCTCTGATGTTTGGGAATTAACAATGTGTTCAGCATCTCTGAGAATCTGGGAGATTGACAGACGTATTATGAAGTCTGTCCTAAGGTAATTTGTCCAGAGTCATTCCATATAGTGGTAGCAGATTTATAGTTATTGCCATGAAAACTTTTTTCCCTAAAATCTTCTGTGTATTATAGTTTCAAATTCAGGTCTCTCTGCAAGGACTTACATCCAAAAATCGTGTGTCTTGATTTCCAGTTATCTACAAACATATGCAGAAGATTTTTTTTTCAAAGTAATAATGAAGTTCAAATGAACACAGAAATGACATGACAAAATCTGTATTTCAAATCCTGCTCATCTAATTTAAATAAAAAGCGTAAGTGAAAAATATAAGCCATGGTTACTCACCTACGATGAGTAAGGAAACTACCACTGACATGTCCTGAGCCATCACATCCTGGGGTTGGACATGACATTCCTTCTGTCTTCACTGACTTCCAAGAGAACTGTGAGCCATTTAGGTACCCATCCTTTTGCCTTTTGGCAGCTAAAGGACACCCTGACGCACTGCGATGGGATGCATATTTTCCAGTTATATGACCCTGACCATCACAACCAGGAACTGGACATCTGGATAGCAGATAGATGAGATAAACTTTATTGTCTTGCCATCATATACCTGGTAGCCTCTACAACAAAGTCAAAATAAACCCGACATGAAAAGAAAAGAACAATCATGCACTGTGGTCTTAAAAATAGTCAAGATACCCTGTAGTAGGTAAAATTGCAAGCAAAACTTTGTTAATATGAAAAGAAAATGTTCTTTGATAAACTCTAAGGAGGCTAGCCAGTAGAGGAATTCACAGCTGTTGATACTGTGCAATTGCAACAAAATGACAGAGATATATATTTGAATTGCAGGTGTTCATTAGAGTAAGTATCACACTGGAATTGAAATGTTGGCTACTGAGCTTCACTCAGAAGGGAAATTGCCCATAAAAACTCTATAAGCACAAAATCCTACTTAGTATAATCCTAGGTACATTTTATTTATGTGTATGGAATCTAAAGAAGTCTTGTCTGAAGTCATGAAAATGTTAGGTGTAAACAGTTAGGTATAAAGGGATCATTGCACCTCGTCAGAAATGCTGAGCACCTTTAACCACTCTCTGAATAGGAGAGATTATAACAAACTGTGCTACAGCCTAGAGAGATCAATGAAGACAGTTCCGTATTCATCCCATGTTTTCTTTACTTGGGAATCCCCCCATACATTTGCCCTGAATATTTCTAAAAAACAAATAAATAACTGGGGTTAGAAGGAAGAGGTTAGAATCTTCAAAGTGAATTTTTTAAAGAACATTATGCTTTTTCAGTATGCTGCCAAACAACACATGTCAAAACAAGGCTGGTTACTTCACTGTCCTACGCCAAAGTATTGCTGTAACTCCCCACAGAGGATCCAGGCCTGAATGGTCTGAGGAGTGACTAAACACGCCGAGTTCAGTGGCCGCAGGTATCAGAGCACCTTGCAAAAAGAAACCAAGACCTACGGGCAGGCATTTGTTCCTCTTGCAAACTGCATGAACAGCCAGATTTGTTGCAGCAATCTCGTACTAATACTCAATTCTCTATTCCCAAAACTACTTTATTTAGCATGTATGGTTTGCCTACAGTATGCAAACACATTTAAGGGGTTTGGGGAGTTAAGAGAGCTGGTAATTTTTTAATTTCATGTGAAAAACATATTTTAAACTGTTCCTACATTATAGAAGATTGAATATTGTATCCTTTGCTGAATAAATCAGCACAGATCCTTGCTTTGCAGTTCACTCACCAAAATCAGTGTGGGCATTAGCTCTGGGAAAACTGTCACACAGTAACATTTATGCCTTGACAAAAAGCTGAAGATATATATGACCTTATAAAACACATGAAGGCCCTTTGACAATATTTGTTCTCACCTAATTGGCTCTTGGTCTTCTTTGTCTTCCTTGCTTTGTGCTATCCTGATTCCACTTTTCTTTGCTCGCGGACAGCCTGAAAGACTGAGTGAAAGAAAACATTTTAAAATGCAATTTCTCATTCTTGGGTAGTTTTCAAGGGATATGCATTCTTTCTGAAAAACTGGCAGAATAGGTAATCCTGTCCAGTATCCAAAATCAAAGCTCCAGTGGTTTACGTGAGGAGAGCTGCATTATGCAACCAGGAGGGGGAATCTGCGCGTCGCTGTTGGGGATGCAGGACAGGACTGCAGACACTGAGCAGACCACACGCACAGCCAGTCCCCGAGGAGCCAGGAAAGCAGCTTTTAAACTCTGTGCCTAATAATCCATCCAGCTGACTCAGCAGCAGCAGCAGCGACAGCTTTAAAAGGAATAGGAGGCATTGTTTCAGGGCTGAGAGACATTACATCCATCCCCTGTATACCTGAGAGGGAAGGAAGAATAGGCTCAAAAGCAGGAGTCTTTGGCTCTCTTGGCAACACCAGAGATTCCTCTAGGGACCACATTAGAAACACTACCAAACCTTCTCAATCTTAATGTAAGAATCCTATAAAACTGTTGAATAAAAACACGGCAGAGCTCAGAGCTGTGCAATGCCTTCCTGAGAAAGAGTTTAAGTGCTCAGAACCCCCCCAGACAGAATGATTTGCTAGAGACAAAGTTATATGTTAGGCTAAGCAATGTTACATTTAAGTAGACACTGAGAATGTTGCTTTTAACCACACTAGATGGAAAAATATATATATCTTCTAAGATTTTATAAGCTCAGCTTTCCCTTTGCATATGAAGAATTCATTATAGAAACCATTTAGTAGACTTGATGACTTTAATAGATATTAAAAGACTTTTTTAAGTAGTTGCTATCCGAGGAGACAAATATGTCTATCAAAAAATCATGCTTTGTCCTCTATTTAATGTTGTTTCCATCCTAGCATATGAACATTAAAAAAGAAATCTGTAGAACACCACCTTCAAAAGTATTGAGATGAGAGACAAAGTCGTGTCACCAAAGAGAAATTTCCATAAAGAAAGAAACAAAATAGATTAAATTTTTTTTCCAGCATGACAAAAGGCACTTCAGTGTTGTTTAGTAGGTCCTGTCTTCAGGAAGAAAAGACAGAAAGAGTGGTAGCAAAACTTTCTTATTTTGTCTTGTCAAGACCAGCAAGGACTGGGAGGAACAAGCAGAGAAAACGGTGATGCAATCACAGACAGAATTCTGCGTTGGTAAATGAAAAATAGACAAAAATAGAATTTACATGCTGCAAAGTCATAAATAAGTCAATTAAAGAATGTTAGCACAAGCTATTGGACATAGCATATTACCTAGCAACTTGCAGTGAGATGGCACGGCTACACCTACAGTGGCAAACGGAAGGGACCCAGAACTGCTGGTTTGACCCGAGACCAGTAAGCTCACATCTGTACAGCTAAACTCTCCGTCTCTGTAAAGCAGGACACTACACCCATATTACTGAGCCTCAAGTCATATTTAAGAATTGCCTGGGAGAGTTTCAGTGGCCCAGGGTCAGTAACATGCTAGGGCACATGCTAACAATTTAACAGTGTAGGCATCTGCGTGCTGATGTGTGGACCCATGTTCTCATTCCATTTCATTTTATACTTCAAATGCATTTGACCATTTTCCTTTTTCAAGCAAGCTGCTCTGTTTTCCAACTTGCACAGTGCACACCGAAGTACCATAGTTCCCTGTTGTGCTGGGTTCAGTCAGGA